ATTGAAATCGCATCATATGACCCCTTTAACGCGTTAAAAATATTTAACGCCGTTAATGCAGGGGCGGGGCTAGTGTTGGCCACCCCACTCACAACTGCTGCCTGTCTCTTTTTACTTGCTAATTTAGTCACAGAACGTCTTTACGAGCACATCAAACAGAAGACATTTCAGACGCGCACTCCACTTCACCTCAGCGCCAGGTGCGAGTCAAACGAGCGCGGAAACGGTACTGTAGGTTACTCGGCGCGCACGCTTCAATTGTATGCACAAAGGCGCCGGCGCACGCTGTAGCCTTTATCATTTCATATCAAAGTGCGAAAGAAACTACGTGCATGCAATGTCGTGGTCAGTTAAGTCATGAAGGCGATTAAAGCTGCCTTAAAGAGTTCGTTCACCCAAAAATGAACCATGAATTAAAATGAATTACCGTATTGGCCCGAATATAAGACGACCCTGATTATAAGACGACCCCCCTTTTTCCAGATGTACCTTTTGGAAAAAGGCTTTTTAAAAAAATACACCAAATAATGATCTTTAAAAAAGCATCACATGACCCCTTTAAAATTTATAAATTGTGGTGTACAGCGTTTATTATGAGGGGGAAGAATCCACAGCTCAGTACTCACTACTCAATACTCATGAGTACTTTTAAATAGGCTACTCTTTTACTCTTACTCAAGTAGTTTTTTGGACAAGTACTTTTACTCTACTCACACTACATTTTTTGGAAGGTAATGGTACTTTTACTTGAGTATATTTTTTCAGTACTCTTTCCACCACTGCCTTTGACATATTTAAAACTAAACAACTCCATCGTTATTGTCCTTTGTTCTCAGAGTTCTTCAGAGAGCTGTTGAGCAATGCAGAGAAATCTCTCAATGACATGTTCGTGCGGACCTACGGCTTGATGTATGTGAAGAACGCCGAGCTCTTCGAGCATTTCTTCAGTGAGCTACGCCACTACTACAGCCATGGGAGCAGCGCCGTCAACCTGGACGACATGCTAGCGGACTTCTGGACGGAGCTTCTGGAGCGCATGTTCCGACTGGTCAATGTGCAGTATGAGTTCAGCGACTCGTACATGGAGTGTGTCAGTAGGCACACGGAGCAGCTCAAACCCTTTGGCGATGTTCCACGCAAGCTGCGCCTGCAGTTGACCCGGTCCTTCATCGCAGTTCGCACGTTCACCCATGGCCTGGTGCTCATGCCTGAGGTAGTGGGCAAAGTCTCCACGGTGAGCAGATTTTTATTTATTTATTTTTACGTTTCTTTGACTAGGGAGGGAATTTTCCAGATAATTATTGAATGTGATGCAATAAAACAAAATAATGGCAAAAAATGTGTTGTCCTCAAGGGCTGCATTAAAAAAATATATACAAATTTACAATGTTACCAATGTAGTCTGATCCATAAACAAGTGACTTATGATCAGTTCTTGTAGTGAATTAAAAACATGAATTAAAAAAGCATGACCAGTGTAGTTTGATTCATGAAGATTCAGTTCTTTTAGGGAATTAAAAACATACAGCGTGATCAGCGTAGCCTGATTCGTGAAATGAATGACTCTTATGAAAAGTGTTATTTTTGTATTATTTATATACTATTAGTTTTTTCATATTTTGAGTTAGCATTGATTTGATATATTTTTAGTTATTTTATGAGCTTTTCTTTTTTTTACTCATATTTTTCAATAATTTCGTCAATAATTTCAGTTTTATTTCAATTAACAAAAATATTTTTTATAGTTTTAGTAATAGTTAACCCTGATTAAGATAACTCTGCTTATAAACAGATTATTTTATAGAATAGTTCAAAAAGGTCCATTTAAATCAGTCCGAAACACTGCCTTGTTTGTTACAATATTAGCAAAGAGAGAATGTCTTTATGTAAGGAAAATTATAACTGACACATACTCTAATGATTCAGAATAAAATCAAACTAAATCAGAATCAAATCAAATCAAGAGTTTGTAAATCCAAAACAAATCGAAACAGGAAATCTTCATCAGTACCAGCCCTAGAGCTGAATTTGGTTAGCATGGCAACTTATGTTTATTAAGCAAGTCCGAGGTCAGGGACAACAGAGATCGAAAGTACAGGTTTTCTATAGGGTTTATCAGTGTGTGAAGGTGGACACCTGGATGGACCAATCGGGGCTTATCTTCCAGCATTAAAAGATCAGAGGCCAAGGCTTCTCGGTGTGTTTAGTGAGTTAGTAGAAGCAGTTGAACCTGCAATGACAAATTGAGCAAACAACTTTAGCAGTGACCTTATAAAAGGTGGCAGGGTCGCTCGCTGATGCTCTTTGTTTAGAGTTTTATCAGCAGCATCAGGCATATATGAATTAGGTTACGGACTCATTAACCTTTTCCTCCTGTGTCTGTTCTGCTGACTTTGCTCAATCTTCTTGTTCATCCTTTCTTTCAGGTTAGTGCCTCCCCGAGTTGTGTGCGTGCGGCTATGAAGATGTTATACTGCCCGTACTGTACCGGCCAGGTGGCGCTGAAGCCCTGCAAGAACTACTGTCTCAACGTCATGCGAGGCTGCCTGGCCAATCAGGCCGATCTGGACACAGAGTGGAATAACTTCCTTGGTAAGAGAGTGTTAAATGGCTCAAGCAATTGATTTATTACTGAACCATTCCTAAATGTAATGGAGCCAGTTTTCCACACTAAGCAGAGGAGTATCATAAGCACAGATTGAAAATGAACAGATCAGATTGAAATGGTTTCCACTTGCTCTGAGGCCAAAACAATTTATGTGAAGCATCAGCTTGAAAGCAGAATTGGAGTTAACTTGGATTAGGAGTGAACACTGGGGAGCGGCTCTGTTTTTATCCTTGCATGTGTTTCATGAAGTGTTTTGGGCCTCTCGTGACTCTGAAAGGCCGTGTGGTCTCAGGTCCCGTCACACATTTTCGTGCGCTCTCGCAAAGTGTTCCTGGCTCGTGGGACTCTGGGACTGGCTTTGCTTACCCTGCCTGTCAGCTTTGGGCGGAACCTTAATTGGGGCACCTTGTTCAGGCATCTACAAGCTGTTTGCACAACAGGCTTCAGTTCCTCATGAGCTTAGCCTGGACCGATGACTGTATGCTGCCCTCTAGTGGTGGAAATGACAGCATTTCTTTTGGTCATGGTTAATTGAAAGCATTGATGAAATGGATTGCTTTGAGGGTGTTCCCTTCATTAATGCCTTTATTTTGAATTTTATGAATTTAAGATGCCATGTTGGGTCTCGCTGAGAGGCTAGAGGGACCCTTTAACTTTGAGTCAGTCATGGATCCCATAGACGTGAAGATCTCAGACGCCATCATGAACATGCAAGAGAACAGCATACAGGTCTCACTGAAGGTATGCTTTTAATTCAAAAATGACATTTTCACATGTATATCAGAAATGCCTGTTTTTATTAAGCCTATGCTTATTGATTGTGGTGCATGTGTATTTATAGTTATTTGTCTGTTTCAGGTGTTTCAGGGATGTGGGCAGCCCAAGCCCAACATGGCATTCCGCACCCGGCGCTCTCCTAAAGACTCAGGCTTCCCCGGGCGTTTCCGACCCTACAGCCCTGATGCCAGACCCACCACTGCTGCTGGCACCAGCCTGGACCGACTGGTAAGGATAATGGGCTCCCTTACCACTTATATCCCTTCCAGAAACTTTCTTTAAAAACATGTTGATTTATTCTACCAGATCAGAAAGGAATGGTTGTAACACAAACTGTTTGTTTCCTAGTTGACAGATGTCAAGAAGAAACTGAAGCACGCCAAAAAGTTCTGGTCCACCCTGCCGGACACTGTGTGTGTTGGAGAACGGATTGCCATCGGTGATGAATGCTGGAATGGTACAGCCAAAAGCAGGTGGGTCAATGAGATGATGCTCCTCTTTTTGAGCAGATCTATGACGTTTTTCACAATCACTTTAAAAGGCAGTTTATACTTGCTCATCATATGAGAGGTGTATTCAAGTCATTGCGTTCTTTTTTTTTAAATTATGGAATTAAAAAGCATTAGTGCTGTGTTCGATACATCGATACGACGATGTATCGTCACAGAGATTTGACGATACGAGATATAAAGAGACGTAATCCCCGAAACAGAGCTTCACACTTTCGCAATATGGAAATATCTGCTAAGTGTGCTACTTATCTTTGTCAACCTGGTAACCATGTGCACGCGCTCTCTCTTCACTGTGGATAAACGCGCTTTCTTTCTGAAAACACCGGTTAGCTTGCAGTTTAGCGATCTCCACTTCAATAAATGTAGCTCTTGAGCGATTAAGCTATTTAGTTGATAAAACTGTGGGGCAGCGCTAAAAAGTTTGTTCCTGAATGTCTGAGTGCAGCCGCAACGTGATCTGTGTGTGTGACTGAACTTAACATCAAACTGCTTCTGTTTCACACAATGTGGGGCAGCGCTAAAAAGTTTGTTCCTGAATGTCTGAGTGCAGCCGCAATGTGATCTGTGTGAGTGACTGAGCGTGTGTGTGCATTACAGAAGACAGCGCATTAGTTTAGAACTCTTCTCATTTTTATTTTTTAAACGTAGAGATTGTGTTAATTTGTGCAATGATAACCTACCAGCAATGTAAATATGATTTTTTAATATATTAGAATGAGTACATTACAATATAAATTTATTAGAACGAGTACATTATTTTTTATAGGCTTAAAAACAAGATGCAAGCAATCAGAATATTGTACCTGGTGGGGAGTGCCCAATGTAAACATGAAACATATGCCATTACCTATATTGTAGGCTACTGTGGTACAATTATGGAGGCCCTTCATAATGCAGAGGTCAACTGCCTGCTCTGCCAATAGTTAGAAGTGGCACTATAGTATGCAGTGTTTAATAAACAGCTGTTGAGGTGAAATTCAGTGCAGTCCTGTATCGTGATACGTATCGTATCGTGGCATCTGTATCGTGATACGTATCGTATCGTGACTTTGCTGGTGGTGATACACAGCCCTAAAAAGCATAATGTCAAAAACTTCAGAGTGCTAAATCTGTACTGATATCATAATAGAGAATGAAGCCTCAATTTCAAGAATTTAATTTTTGAAAAGGAAACCTTCAATCCTTCAACCTTCAAAGTTTGACAATCTTAATCATAATCAGGATTAATATTTCTTAGAAAATCAGTACAAATTAGCAGTGTAGCAACATTTGGAAAACTTTTGTTCACTAAATCAAAGTCGTGTGGTGCAACAAACATGCGGGGGCAAAAATAAGAATAAAAAGGAAATTATATAATGGAGACCCTCATGGCTGTCAGTAAATATCTTAAAATATCAGAATTTTATATTTTTTTGACAAAGCAAGGTCATGTGGTGCAACTCACTTCAGACTTTACTTTAATTCAAATTTATTAGAAAAAACATTCTGCTTTGAAAAACATTTTTGAAAATAATTAAGACGTGAACACTTGAGGAGTAAGGAAAACATAGTATTACTTTGTAATTGTTAAATCACGTGGCATTTTTTAGAGTCATTATATTAAAATACTTCTTGAAAATGGTATATTCAGTTTTTCAAAACCGTATGAAACCTACAAAGAGTACATTTCTAGGAGCTTGGCTGTTTTAAACTAGGTTTTGAAAAGACACTTTTATTGGTCGCAGTACAGTAAAATTCCTCCATTTCATTCCTCACTCAAGCTGCAACTCAAATTTTCCTTCCTTCCTTCACATGCAGGTACGAATCTGTCGTCATAGGCAATGGCTTAGCCAATCAGGTGTCTAATCCAGATGTGGAAGTTGACATCACTAAACCAGACATGGTGATTCGGCGGCAGATAGCAGTGCTGAAGGAAATGACCAGCCGGCTTAAGGCTGCTTACACTGGCACCGACATCTCATTTGTCAATGGTACGAGAGGCATCTGTTTTGTTTGAGTTACAGTTGTGGTTCAATTCAAGTGAAATTCATTATGAAATGTCAAGATGATGTCATACGAGCCTGTTTTTAATGTTTATCTCTTTCTTTCCTGGCTCTTCAGAGGATGCCGGCAGTGGAGAGGAAAGCGGAAGCGGCTGTGACTCGCCCCCTTGCGACAGTGACGGGGACATCTACTTCTCCACCCCAGCACCCGCTAAACCTCGCATTATCAAGATTCAATCTGACAAACAGCCCTCTAGTGGTACACGGTTGGCACCTTTCAGCCTGGCGCTGGCTGTGACGGCACTCCTGCTCGCCCTGCTCACCCCACACACGAGATAAGACCGGCTAAGAGAGGAACAGGATGTGTGTTTGTACGAATTTGAACAAGAGAGCAGAAAACTGCCATAGGACATTAAAGACACTGCTTTCAGGATCTCCGTCTGCCTGCCATCTGGGGAAGACACTCGAGTTATTAATATTCAAATAACTTCCCTTCAGTGTATTTTTTGTGTTTATAAGAACGGACTTCATTTATGTACAGCTATATGTTTCCATGCAGCATTTCACGTCAGCTGGGTTTTATTCCTCCGTGTCTGTAGCGTCCAGAATCGTTGACGACTCATCATGATTTTTTCGGTTATGGTTTAAATAAGTGTTAGTTTGAAAGTAAGTCAGATTGAGTGTGTGTTTGGGTGGATGAGTGTACGATTGGCTGTATATATCATCCGAGCGCTTTTTATAAAACGTAAACAATTAATCAACCCGTATAACACGTATGATTTAAGCAAATCTGTATGAAGTACTCAGATTTTTTTTTTTATCAATTGAGCATGTGTTTTGGTGTGCATGGAGGCTTTGGTTGGCTGCAGATCATATATATGTTCTTGAATTTTAGAGGATGATAAAAACTTCATAAATGGGCATTTCATCTGGGTTGCGACTGACAAAAATGTATACAATGCTGCCTTATGAGTGAAATCAAAACTAGAGGATTCCAGACACAAAGTGTTTTTTTCTTTTTCTTTTCTGTATGTTTCCAACTTTCACAGACCCTGTATCGTCATCCCAAATATTTTCAGCAGTATAATATATAACTTGAGAATATAGTCTTCAGTATGTGTGTGTGATGAAGAAGGAGCTTTGGTTAGGTAAGGTCTGTCTGAAAGTTGATACTTTGAATAGGCCTTGATGGTTCCCTCAAAGATGATCATGTATTCTGCATGATGTGGACTGTGTGGCCAGAGTAAAGTTGTTTTTTACTGGACATTTCAAGGAGAACCAGCTGGATACGAGTGTATGCTGAAGATGGCTTAAGGCTGAGCTGTCTGGAGGAATTTTACACAGGGTTTTATGTGGAGGTGTTTATTTTGCTTGAAGTGTACTGTTGTAAGGTATAAAACTGTATGATAGGTACTGCAGCAGATTTCACTACACAGTGACAGACGGTGCTGATTTGAGAGGTTGGGTGGCCTCTTTTAGTTTTTGTTTCTTTCATTTCTGTATGTAACCTAAAATGTCCAGCCTTTTCCCCATACCCGATTGATATCCATAGAAATCGGTACACATTTTAAAACCATTCCTCATATAGAGCAATAGACAGTGTGTGTGGTACGTTACAACACCAGTTTCAAAAGTGGCTATGCATGCAAGTTCCCATTCAGATGGCTGACAAGTGCTTGTTTGGTTGGTTTAAAAGAAAATCTCTCTCGGTCTCGAGGGCTTTCCACCCACCTCTCAGAAAAACTAGCTCCCCCTCGCTCTTGTACAGTAAGTTATTTAACCACGTCTCTTTGAAAGGCATTCGCAAGCATCTCTTTCCTAGGTATCTTAATTTCAGTCTTCACAATATTTATGTCTGTTGATGAATGAATTCACAATTTTAACCAATGGTTTTATTTTGGCTTCAGATTTCATGTTACATAATATTTAGATTTTGTAAACCGAGCTACCGTAAGCATTTGTTTTGTCGTTACAGTTTTATGTAAGGGGATTGTGAAAATTGTACAAGCTGATGCAAGGACAGGGCTGGCCATCGGTCCTTGATCGTTCCTGATGTCACATGCACTTTTAATTGGCATTCAGATACCTCACAGCAAGAGAGTTTTAAATGATGCTTTTAATCGTATCTGCAACATGCATACTTTTTACGTTCATTTTTATTCATTCGAGGTTCATTCAGTATCTATGGATGAATGGCCAGTCCTCAGACATGGAAAAGAATCGTCAGGGTTTCATGAGCCTGAAATGAGTAGATCTCTACAGCAGCACCTCAGATTGATTATGTATTTTTCTAGTCTGATGTACTGCAACGAATAGAAAGCAATATGTGTTTTCTGTACATTTGACCCAAAGCTTCCCACTGTCACATGTTAAGATGGCTCTGATGTAATGACCAGGAAAGGAAGTGTCTTGTGCTTAGTATGTCAAGCTACTCCGAGTCAGTGTGAAGATGACATGGACTCTTGAATGAACCTCTGCAATGTCATCTTTAGATTGATTGCTGACCTTGAATTGGACAGATCGCAGGGCCTGCAGCCCTGTACATCAATGGAGTCATCTGTGATGAGGAGTGAGAGACACTGAAGAAAGAAAAGAAAACAAATTGTAAATAATGAGCAGTCATTTTAGTGGTCTCTGAGAGATGTTCATCAGATTTGACCCATTCAGAGTTTGTGCTTAATATGGGTGAAACAAAGAGATAGATGCTAAAAATGTAAGAGAAAAGTTATATTAAACATTTTTTAGTCTTGTTGAAATAAAGACTGCAGATATTTAAATGTGTCGTATGTCATTTCTGCTCTGTTGTGCTTTACTAGGATTAGTTCAACCAAAATGCTTTGAAAATCTCTTTGAGAGACCAATTAGTAAAACAGAAGAAAACAAAGGATGACTTAAAACAATCATGAAGACTGATTAATCACAGCCATTAATTAAGCTGCGGTGTTAAATATTCCTTTAGTCTTCATGTGTTAAGTCAACAAACTTGTCAAGATGAGATGAAGACTGCCAGACTATTAATGTCCCATATAGTTGTTTTCTTCCAATAGTACAGAAAATAAATGTGATGGAGACCATGTATGGAGAATTCTACACCTTCAGAGACTCATTTATTACACAAGATACAAAACGGTAAATTCTAAGTGAAATATTAATCAATGTTAGCTTAGATTCCTGATGTTGAAATATTCTTACATTAAAGAAAACCATATCCAGTATGGGACATTAATAACTTTTTATATCCAGCAGTTAATCAATGTTTGCTTTCTGATATGCTATTTTGAAGATTTATTTATTATAGCACTTCATACATATAGCGCTTTACAGATATAATAGACTATAAGACAATATCAACCAGCAAAAATAATATTGACTTTGCCTGTAAAGCAGTATTGTAATTCAAATCTGTGTGTGTGTACAGGTTTATATATCCTGGTGGGGACTTAAACCTGACTACACACAGACTCATGGGGACTCGTGTCACGGTGGGGACCTAAATTGTGGTCCCAACGGGTACAAAAGCTTATAAATCATACAGAATGAAGTTTTTTGAAAATCTAAAAATGCAGAAAGTTTCCTGTAAGGGGTAGGTTTAGGTGTAGGTCAATAGAAAATACGGTCTGTACAGTAGAAAAACCATTACGCCTATGGAGAGTCCCCACAAGGATAGCTGACCAGACATGTGTGTGTGTGTGTGTGTGTCTGTGTGTGTGTGTGTGTGTGTGTTTGGTCCTAGTATTCCCTATGGGGACCAAATGTAGTAATACCAGTAAATTTTGACCTTGAAGGGACATTTTTTTGGCCCCCATGCTCAATTATCTTTTTTTTTTTTTTTAAATCTAAAAATGCATAAAGTTTTATGTGAGATGCAGGTTTAGGGGTAGGGTTGGAGTAAGGGATTAGAAAATACAGTTTGTACAGTATAAAAATCATTCCGCCTATGGAATGTCCCCATAAAACATGGAAACCTGTGTGTGTGCGTTAACAAATATTGTTTTGTTTATCAGAAGAAACATTTTAGCCAATTAAATGTCTAGACAGTTACTTGCAGACAGTCTTGCAAATTGAAAACAGAATTTGTCAAATATTTCCCAATGGGGCTTTTATTATGAAGATTCAAATGCGGATGGGGGCGGTATGGACTACTGGGAAAGGAAAACGAGGAACGGGGAAGAGCGAGTACGGAATTGTGGCAGAGGTAAACAGCAGAAGTTATCTGAAGATCTCAAAGCAATGCGATGCTAGTACGAGCAGGAAAGGCTCGTGGAATCATGTAGACATCAACTAGGTTCGACACGAGCAGACCAACATCCAGAAAAAGCGCTGGGCGTGTTCATGTTTTGATGTGCTGAGGCTCGAGTCACAGGTTTTGTTCAACAACATTTCTCCCGGCCGACGCGACGCGGTGGAGGAACCGCACAACTGAGTATGCTTTCGCTTTTCCAGCGAGAAGATGGATGAAAAATCCTACTACAGCCGGCTCCTCGTCGCATTCCTGATGGTCCTGTGTTTCGGTGTTATTGTATTACAGTACGTCTGCCCTACGTCCGACTGCCAGTTGCTCCACCTGGCATCATTGTCCTCGAGACTGGGAAGCCGCGCGCCCGGGGATCGCATGAACGGAGCCGGTGCGGGAGATCCGTACAGCTCAGAGGACGGTGCTTTGGTTCGATTCGTGCCTCGCTTTAATTTCACCACCAACGACCTTAATCGCGCTGTAGACTTCAACATCAAGGGGAACGATGTTATAGTGTTCCTCCACATTCAGAAAACCGGGGGGACCACGTTCGGCCGTCACCTCGTTCGCAACATCCAGCTGGAGAGGCCGTGCGAGTGCCATGCGGGCCAGAAGAAGTGTACCTGCTACCGGCCGGGCAAACGGGACACCTGGCTGTTCTCTCGTTTCTCCACCGGCTGGAGCTGCGGGCTGCACGCGGACTGGACGGAGCTCACCAACTGCGTGCCTTCCTTCATGGGCAACCGGGAGTCTCAGGAGAGGCGCAGGACTCCCAGGTGAGGGTTTAATTGGTTTTTTATCAGTATATCAAACTAATTTAGTGTCTATAATGGACTGAGACGCGTCTTGATAAACAAACTTATTTCTTTTGTTATGGTGCTGTGTGGTGTCACGGTGCGCTTCGCCACTCCTTCCCCTCATATTGTTCTCGTTCAGTTCAGTTCAGTGCTGAAGCCCCTTAGCAAGTCAATTATGCGGAGACAAAAGCCTCCAACAGGTCAGGCTCAACCTCAGAGAGTCTGCTTTCATTCAGCGCATTCCTGCAACAGGGGACCCATCATCATAATCATTCACCCTTTCAGACACCCTGGAGGGCAGACAGCCTGCTGGCACCAGAACATCTGACATTTTCTCAGGCTTGTCCTTTAAATAAACTCCCTGTAGCATGGGATAAACACTGTTTGATAATGTTTGAATTGGGAGGCATTGGATTTGATGAATAAGTGTTGAGTCCTTAGAGCGCACGGTAGGTTGGTTCTGTTTTTACACTATTGTTTAAATGTTCTTTCTATTCATCAAAGAATCCTGACAAAATCAGTTTTCACAGAACTGTTTTCAACACTGCCAGTAATAAATGTTTGTTGAGCAGCAAATCAGCGTATTAGAATGATTTCAGAAGGATCTGAATACTGAAGTAATGATACTAAAAATTCAGCTTTGCTATCACATAAATAAATGACATTTGAAAATATATATATAAAAAAGTCATTTTAAATTGTAATATTTCATAATATTAATGTTTTTACTCTATGTTTTGTTCAAATAAATGCAGCCTGGCAAGCCTAATTGACTTCTTTCTAAAACATTAAAGGGGTCATATGATGCGATTTCAATTTTTCCTTTCTCTTTGAAGTGTTACAAGCTCTTGGTGCA